TGCCAAAGATGACGTCTTCTTGGTCACGCTAGGCGGTAAGAACAAAAGGCAAGGACGACGATTGTAAATTGGGCGGAGTGCGCAAGATTCAGATCCAATGTAAGATGGCCTGTGGGGTATACGAGAATACGAGCCCGCGGAGAGGCATCCGTACTAGCGCGATCGGGGCCTTCGGAGACCGACCGCGGGTGATTGTTACACCTACGCCATCAACGTCCTTTCGTATAGCTCCTCGGATCTGGGAGGTCGGCGCCTCGGAGGCAATTAACTGTGTCGAAATCTACGGCGATCGCGTTTCCATGTTGCAATGTGGCTTCATGAGCTTCGTGAGCACCATGAGGCTCGCCGCGGACCGGTCCTTGGTATCGTCGTGACCGCATCATTTGCCGCTGACCTACCCAAGCGAGGTACCTGGACAACTACGCAGGGCGTTTTCGTTATTTCGCCACGGATAGTCACTCACAATCCTGTAGAAACTCCACTAGTGATCGGACGAAAAGCAACATGGACTGCACTTTCATGACGCGCATGATAGAGTGCAAGTGAGATGCGGCTTGGGTGTGTCACCACACGCGTCATATCACCATCCACATGTACATAAGCTGCTGTCTTCAGGCTCTCCATCGAAATCATTCAAATACCATTCGAATTCCATCCCAAAATGCCTTTCACCACACAGCTCCGCACTATTTCCCGACCCTTCATCCAACAATCACATCTCTTCAAACGAACTTCCATCAGAATGTCTTCCACCAATGAGCATGGTCAGGGTGCATCGCACGCCACTGGTCAGAGTGCCGTCCCCAAGAAGGTTCAGGAGTCTGCACCAAAGGGTCTCGAGGAGAGCCTCCCTGAAGGTGTAAGTTGATTATATCTGCCAACCACGAAGTGAAGCATGTTAACATTGTCACAGGTCCACCCCACTGGCAGCAACCCCAACAGCCAGTCTACCAGCAAGACCCATGCTCTGAACGACGGCGAGGACTCGATCGTCCCCAAGAAGGTCCAAGAGATCGTTCCCGAGTCTGTCGAGCGAGGTAAGAGTTCTACATACAATGCAATAATGACGCGATTCTGACACAAACGAAGCTCTTCCTAACTCGATCCACAACACCGGAGACCAGTAATCGCGTCTTAATACCTACCTAGGTAGTACATGATTGGCAAATAGGAAGTTCACTGTATTATAATAATAACAATCAACGTCAATCCAAACGACATCGTGTGTGAAGCTGCTGTTGGTATTGATCGTAGAAAAAATTGTGCCATCAACCTATAGTGGAAGTAGAAGACGTTGGACTCAACACTGCCTTGAGTTTCTATCCATCGTCGTTCTCATATGTATGCAAATCACAGCGTACCTTTCATCTTTCTAAGACAAGTCACAGGGTTGTTCGCGCCGAAGGTTCCCGTCATCTGGTGTGTACCTGACGCTAGTGTCGAGCCGCGGCAAACATGACGTTGGCCGAGCCCCACCATCCCGCCAGGGCTCCAGATCTTTTCCTAGCCACCACGACAACACGCCTCTCTACCCACGTGTACGCATCTCACCATGGCCTCCGCAACAGCAGCCGACATCCAGGGTCCATCTCATCCAAACCCGGAAGGCCTCAACACATCGGCAAGCACGCAATTCCCGGCTGTCAACATCGGCACGCGCAACTCGGTACTCGCCCAGATCCAGGCCCGCGCAGTCGAGCGAAGCTTGAAGGATGCGTACCCGGACCGAACATTCAACATCTGCCCCGTCGTGGTGCAGGGAGACAGGGACAAGATCACACCCTTGCAGCAACTGAGTCAGGGCGAGAATGCGAAGAGTCTCTGGACGGGCGAACTGGAGAGCATGCTGGAGTCCGGCGATCTGGATATCATCGTTCACTGCTTGAAGGGTATGTTATGGAGCTCGCGCATTGAAACTTCGAACGAATTGGGCTGACTAGTAGAACAGACATGCCCACACAGCTGCCAGACCACCTCGAGATTGGTGCCATACTCCAGCGTGAAGATCCCCGCGATGCCCTCTTGATCTCCCCACGCCTGCCCAAGGAGACGACGTTAGCTACCCTTCCGCAAGGTGCCACCATCGGTACGTCATCGGTACGACGAGCTGCCACACTGAGGAAGCTATACCCACACTTGAAGTTCGCCGACCTGAGAGGCAACGTCGGTACAAGACTAGCAAAGCTCGATGCCGAAGACTCCCCGTACTCCGCTATCATCTTAGCGGCTGCCGGTTTGAAGCGAATGGGCCTCGACAACAGGATCACACAGTATCTGAGCAGTACGAGCGGAGGTATGCTTCATGCGGTCGGTCAGGGTGCTCTAGGAATCGAGATCAGGAAGAAGGATGCAGCTATGAAAGACATCTTGAGCAGTGTTCGATGCGAGCGGACGACAAGAGCATGCTCGGCTGAGCGAGCGCTACTACGCACTCTGGAGGGGGGCTGCAGCGTGCCTATCGGCGTTGAGACATCATGGAGAGGTGGCAAGGGCCTCACTATCGGTGCACAACCAGCAAAGGACTACGATATCCACGGAAATGCGGTAGAAGAGGAAGAGCCAGATGTTGACGATCAAGAACTAGTGTTAAGAGCCATGGTGGTGAGCGTAGATGGCACGGAGTCTGTTGAGTACGAGGCAGCCCGCAAAGTCCGAAGCTCAGAGGAGGCAGAAGAGATGGGACAAGAGGTTGCCAAGGTCTTGATCGAGAAGGGCGCCGACAAGATCTTGAAAAAGATCAACGTAGAGAAGCAGTGGGCGGCCAAAAAGCAACTCGAGGAGCTACAAGCCAAGGCTGCCAGCTCATAGATCAACCGCTATAACGATCAATGTATTACGAATCAGTGAAGCACCCTCAGTCGCTGTTCTCGATGACAAGATGCTTTTCCGGGCCTTGCTCTGCTTCACTGGCTAATGAACACCAACATCTGTTTACGTGTTTGCGACCATATCTCTGGAAAGGAGTGCCATCTGAGTATCGATTACTGCCAGCAGACAGGACAGAGCAGAATGTTCACAAAGATACAGACACAGAAAGCTCGTTGGCGAAGTTGTGACTCTTGGCCGCCTCGATATATAAGAAGTTTCGAGTACGCAGAGTAAGACGTTTCTACTATCAACTCCCTCAAACTACTAAGCACAAGCATTTAATCGCTGGAAAACATATCGTTGAGATCATCTCTCCGCTCCAAAACACCATACCCACGTCATCGTGCGCAAAGCCATATACCAAAGATCATCTATACCCAAGGACTTCATCAACTTTTACTCCCGACATGTGCGAAGAAAGATGGACTCAGTACAAGGACTGCAACCACGAGCATATCCCAATGAGGCGAACTATACGCTGTCACCGACTCGAAGACGATGTCAACGCAAGGCAGTGTCCGCGGTACAGTCGCGTGCGGCGGACCATCAAGTATCCGGATATGTGCGACACCTGTAGGGCAAACGGGGCTGTTCCTGACGAGGGTTTCAAGGGTGGAAGATGGGATAGTCGATAGGATGCGCGGAAAGAGCAAGCAGAGGGGAACATGAAGACGTTGACAGTCATGCGAGGGGGTGTTTGGAGATGTGTACAAATATGAACAATCGTTGGCTGACTTGTATCCTATGAGACATATGCCACTTTTCGATATCGGCAGTAATCAATCAGAAGTGAGGAAATGGACTTTGACTTGTATGTTTCATTGATTGAGGGCTCCTTGATGGAAAGAGAACGCTAAGACAAGGAAACTGAGGCCAATCAGGTATAACTGGTCAGTCTTATTATCATTCCGATACTGAAATCATAGTACTCATCTTGGTCGCCTCGACGATATGGCTTTTTTGTTTGAAGGCGACTTTATTTTAGGCGCGGTGTTGCGAGCTGGCGACGACCTGGACCCCGGGAGCTTCGAGAAGTTTGTCAGCCGCTAAATCACGTGATACCGCGCCTTGTCGCTGGCGGAGTTAACTCTAGGACGCACGATCGGTGCGGCACCTTCGGGTCTTCGCGTTTGAGACATGATGAACATGGTAGCTTGCAGGAACTTCGGGCTCAAGCTCTCTTCTCTTCCTACATCTAACCCCGCTGTCGAATTTTCCGTTGGATATATTACCGCTCTCTCAAGAAATTCGTTGTACCTTGTCCTGAGTGTATCGACTACCTCATCGCCAGGTTCGCTTCGCAGCGACACACGGCGCTCATAGACCCGTACGCGTCGAGAACCCGCGCCGCATCGCCCAACAATCGCTCCAAGCGATATTAAACTCACCGTCTATACTCAATCACGCAGTTCGAACGGAGTCCAGTACAAAAGCATCGTACTGGCATTGCTAGTTGCATCGTTGCTGCCGCCAAACGCGACGCGTGCGCGACACTAAGCCCTGGAGGGCTTGTCCCGCACTAGCTTCGTCCGCAGGCATTGACCCACTTCATTATGGGCATTCCGGGGTGTGTGCGCCTCACGAGACTAGATCAACTAATAGCGTTAACTCCTCACCATCAGTTTACGACGGTCAATCGAAGCATGCGAGGAGATTATACCCATAGCACAGCTTGCCGAGGAGCACTATGCAGAATATGGAAGGCCATTAAAGATCGCGGTCGACGAAGCAGACTGGAGATTTCATTCCGTGTCACCAGCTCAGATACAGGCAATGCGCAAGAGTCAGACAGCCTGGATATTCTTCTTACTGTTAGAGTCAATGACTAACTCCCTGACACAGATGAGCCGCGCTGTAACCCGTTGGAACGGGGTATCTTTCATCGTATTTGCAAGATCCTTCCCTTGAACATCCGCCTCGTGTTCGTGAGCGATGGACCAGATGTCCCACCAAAACGTGGCCGAGATGCTGGACGCCGGGTAGATCGCAAACAACGTGCGCTTTTGAACGAGATCCTGGATGGACTTGGAGTGGCTCATATCGAGGCACCTGGAGAAGCCGAAGCTGAGTGTTGTCGCTTGCAAACTCTTGGTCTTGTTGATGCTGTCTGGTCAACAGACTCTGGTTGCTTGATGTTTGGATGTACCTTTTGGATCCGAGATCACCGAATAAGCACAGACACATCCAAAAAGACCCAGCACACTGCCGAAAGCAAGAGGGACGAGAAGCGGGTTAGAGTGGTCCACGCTGACAAGCTCAAGGAGAAATGCCGACTAGATCGCCAGGGATGCGTGCTGTTCGCCATGCTTGCAGGTGGCGACTACAACGTAGGAGGCCTTCTGAAATGCGGTGCTGACAATGCCCTGAAAGCAGCTCAAGCGAGTCTTGGTCGCAGCCTCTGCAGCAGACAAAGCCAAGAGGAGTGTAGCAAATGGGGTGCTGTTACCCTCAGTAACTTCTTCAAGAGAACAGCGCCGGGAATCACTGTCCCTCCAAACTTTCCACGATACGAGCTTCTACAGTTCTACAACCAACCCAAAGTACATTCGGATGACTGGCTCCGGGACCATGCTAGAGAGAACATGGACTACGACCATCCACCTCGTGAGACACATCTGTTCCTCAAAGCGTGTCCGCCAATCAACATGTTCTGGAAAAAGTACCTCAACCACGTTGGCCCCATACTACTCTCTCGCATCCTTGCAGCGTGGGACGAGCCATTGCCTGGAACGACTCCGTATGGCCTCACTCTCGTGAACACACGACAGACGGCTGCAGCGGCTCCACCATCTCAGGCCCCGCTAGAGCGGAAGGTCAAATTCAGAGCGTTCGATGTGACAGAACTGAAGGTACAGAACTTGGCCGCATACGTAACACAAAGGGACAAGCCGATACCAGATATCAACGAAGCACCCGGCCATGTTGTCACTTACGAAATGCCAGCATTTCTCTTGCGCAAGGTCTTGCCGATTCCCACACCGACGGTAACGGAGCCCAGTGGAACAGAACATCCACCGAAGCGAAAGCATTCACTCTCTGATGAGCAAAATACGAGTTTTCCAGTCTCAGCAAAGAAGTTGCGCCAGCCTGCCAAATCGGCGACTCCTGTCGCACAGCCTCTTGTTACGTTTCCAGGTAAATCCGCATCTTCTCCGATGCAGAGTAGCGCTCTGGTCACACCTTCAAAGCACTCACTCCAACATTCACCCTTGGGTTCCACCACATCCCCCGCCACACCCGTAAACCTGTCAGATGACGGCCTGCGCAGACCTCAGCCGCGAGGACCTAGACAAAGTCCGAGTGAACGGTTCGCACTCTTGCTTCGGAGCGTCAAGAAAGAGTGAAGGCGATGTAAGGATTACGTTCACCGAATGCGCATGCTTATATTATGCGAAAAAGGACCGTGGGTATCATTGAATGAAAGTAGCTACAACCGCAAATTCTATGCCATCAATGTCTATTGCTGTGGTTTGTACACCATACCTCCCGTCCTCGTATAAGCGTCTGTGCTCGCCGGCCCAGCCCACCGTCTACTAACCTCCTCTCTGTGCTTGACCTCCCTCTCATTCTGCACAGTAACGCAGCAGCAGCAGCAACATCCCTTGAGCAGATCGCTCCCAAAACTGCCTCCAAGTTTATACGCGCGCCGAATACGTGTCCGTTGAAGCATAGGGAATAGCCACCACAGTCCACAGGAAAGGCCCATGACCATGCAGTGTCCGTTCGTGGAGCTGTGGCCGAGCATATCCGTGGGATCTTTCTTCGCGGATTTCTGGGACAGGCGGTACGAGGTGCGGCCGTAGAGGATGCAAGGGCAGAACAGACCTGTAAGACAGGTTGAAGGGTCGGGGCTGCATGCGCAGATGCCGTTTGACCATTCGTGTGATTTCTCTAGCTCCATGTTTGGGTGCGATATCTGGCCTGGCTGGTGTGCAGCAAAATCGAGGCCGTTGGGGCCATGGGCGGCGTCTGGGGAGAATACGGCGTGGAAGTTGCTGTTCTGGTTCGAGAAACCGTGTGGTGAATAGGGCTCGTTCGGATACGGCGAGTTTCGGAGCGTGGGGGAGGTTGGAACATCTCGCGGCTGTTCTTTGTGCATCGAGTTGGCGGAGATGGGGGTCATTGGTGTCTTGTGCGGTAGCGGCGAGGTTTGATGCGTGCCCGACGGCGGCGTAGGAGGGATGGGCGGCATGGCATACGTCCGGATGTTCGTGTTGATGGGCGACAGGTTGCTCATCTGCCGAGCGTGCCTGCTCTGCTGTGTCTCAACCTGTGGTATATGATGAACAGGTTCTGGTTGTGATATTGACGAAACCGGGGAAAAGTGTTGCGCTTGCGGAGCATGCTGAGGCGAGTTGGGCGAGACGGGGGGTTTAACGTCATGCGCGTAAGACGGCGGCATGTAAGCTGTTTGCGATTGGGGCGGAATGATCGGGAGCTGCGCGTCAAGCATCGATTGGGGGCGAGGGTCGATCGGCGTGTATCCCACTGGCGATGTTGGTAGGGAGATGGGCATGGAATGTGGCATTGGCGGATCATTCGGCGAGGATGTGTATACGAAAGCACGCATCTCTGCGGGTGTCTGCGCATACGAGAAGTGCCGTGATGAATCTGTGTTGACTTGAGGTTGCTGAGGCCGCTGGGGTTGTTGAGGCTGCTGAGGTTGCTGAGGCTGTGCCGGCTGCTGGTATTGCTGAGGTTGCTGGTACTGCTGAGGCTGATGCTGTGGTGGTTGCTGTTGCGGCTGTGTATAGGCTGGGGCATCATCCTCAAGAGGTTGCTGCCATGAGAACCTGTTGTGCTGCTGGGAAGTCATTTGAGGCTGGAGCTGCTGGTTCTGTCCATGCTGTCGAGGATCCATGATGCGCGATTGTCTTCAAAGGAAATCCGCTTGCAACGAGGTGCTTCTAACAGAGAAGACGAGTTGTGTACTATATCGTATATGAAACCGGTGTTTACTCAGAGTGTAGAGTCAGCGGGAGCATCCGGTGGCACAGTCGTTATGAGCTGTTGGAGGGGAGCTGGAATATGGGTGGGCTCAAGCCGGGGGCCAGGAGGTCTGATATCAGGTCAAAGGGCTGCACGTCAGGTACATGCACAAGTACGAGGTCCAAAGAAAGGCAGCCCTGCATCAGAGCCGCCTATCGCTCCGGTTGGCTCTTGGCCATGCTTCATGTCATAGGCGAGCAGCATAGTGGACGCAGATTCGTAGAGCTCCCGCCGTAAGATGGCTCTCTTTTTAGACTTGCAGTGAGGCGCGGGCTTGGCCAATTGAGGTTGGAGGTGAGGTGTGACAACGTTGTGGAGCGAGTCGGTCGGCGCTTACGGGTGGCTCGGCCCCAACGTGCAGACCAATCACGAGGCCCTCCCCTCCACTACGCGTTTTCGGCCACAGTTCCTGGGTCGCATTTATGGCCCTTCTCTTGCATCCGGACAAAGGCTCCCCATAATTGGAAAACGCCGCAGTTTGAAGAACAACGAGCACAGCCCGGTGGCGCAGAAACTGCGGGTCTAGGATTGTTCACGTGTTTCAACGCGATCGAGCCATGTGCTCCGATTGCAATACCATGACAGCACTGGGCACGTAGATAAAGACACTGTGCTTGGAACCCCACCTGTACCTTCGCGGGTGAGACACACAAAAGTCACGTTTGAAGTGGTGAGAAGATTGATTCAGGACTATACAAGGGCGGCGGAATGCGCGCTCGCCGTAAAGGTATTATATGAATCGAGATAGTGAGGGCCGGGACGAGATAAGGGTATGATCTATGCGTCCTTGTCCTGCTGGGCCTTTCCACGCTCCTCCTTGTTCTCCGCGCCTGGACGCTCAGTGGAGACGGTTCCTTGCAGCTTAGCGGTTTCGGCAACGCCCTCGCCCTTTTTGCTCTTCTCTTCCTGCTTGGAGATCTGCGAGGTGTGGTGGGTGTTGTCGTTGGAGAGTCCCTTTTGCTTGCCAGACATCTCGTTCTGGCTCTTGGTCTCGTCCTTGCGGGGGTCGGGCTGTACTAGTTAGCATCCTGTGCGCAATGAAGATGTTCATACACCGACCTTGTCGGACACGTCAGGAGATTGGCTGTCCTTCTCCTCGCTGTTCTCCTTGGTAGGCTTGTCCGGGTTCTGCTGATCGCTCTTTGGCTTCTCCTCAGACTCATCCTTGGATTCGTCCTTAGACTCGTCCTTAGATTCCTCCTCGGGCTCATCCTCCTTGTTCTCCTCTCCGACGGTAGATTCGGTACCAGTCTTCTTGGCACCTCCCTCGCCGTGTGGGTCGCCAAGAGGGTGGTGTTCAGCGCCGTGGTTCGTGTCTTGGGTTAGGACAATGTAGAGACCGACACCGGTGCCGACGACGGCTGAGGCCATCCTGGATATCTCGGTCAGTATCAGGTATTTCATAGAAATCAACACAATGTGTACACAGCTTGGCTGCTTTACGAAAGCGGAATAGCACTTCCACACGCCCAACTACTCAATTCGAGGGCTGTGTGCTTCCTAACGGTAACATGCTATATCCGCATTCGCGCTCATCTGTATAATCGAAATGGGATTGACATACCATGGGATGTCGCTGCTCTTAGCCTCGCCCTCGGGACCGTGGCCGCTGGCGTAGGTTCGGCGTTGGACAGCTCGTTGCCATGGCTGGAGCTCGGCAGCGCGGATAGACCTCGCCGGGCGAGCTGCGCGTGCCAATGAAGAAGCGCGGAGAGCAGAGGACCTGATGAAAGACATGGTGAAGCTGTAGAGAGACGAATTGAAGCTCGCGACGGGCAATTGATGGCAGACTCGGAGTTGGGATGCGCGCAAGAGAAAGATCACGTCAGTCAGAATTATCGGTACGTCACATTGTGGCCCCTGCTTCCGAGGTCTAGCTCCGCGTTCTTGCATCACGTGTGCCCGACCTCGAACACTCGCGAACCTGCGCGAGGCTGCAGAGCCATCGCGTAAAGATTGTGCACGTAGTATCAAACCATTATCCGTAGAGCTCGCGTAAGAGTGTTTCATCATGCTTTGTGAATGAAAGAGATTATGTGAAAACAATGCCATCTGCTCACACCTGATACAAGGGAACAGCTGAACACTATAGAGCCTACGTTGACGTCAGGTCTCTACTTTGCATAGCTTGATCTTGATGTAGGTTCTATGGTGTTTAGTTTCCCCTTGTATAAGGTGTTCACGCGTTTGAAGCAGCTCTTGGATACCCTGTAATTGCACAGAGGCCGTGCGCGGGTTGGAGCTCTGAAAGCGACGCAGGCAACAATTGTCCAAAAGCTCTTCCAACCCGGCCACTGGTGCCTCCCTCGCATACTAAAACGGCAGCTCCCTCACAAGCTTTTTCCCTTCTCTCCCTCCCTTCCGCTCCCCACCGCGACATTGAAGCTGTACAGCACCGTCAACCCCGCCAAAGCTGCCCCGCCACACCACACGCGCCCCAGACTGCGGGCTCACATCTGTGATACCAGACGCGCGAAGTGCTGCAGGCCTTCTAAACATCAGCCATGGCGCCCTCTTCGGTCCCGCCTAACCCCACCTCCCATAATGTCGCCCAGCTGCTCCCCCGCTTCGCCGACGATGACCCCGATTTCCGCTTCATGGCCCTGAGCGACCTGCACGACATCCTCCTCATAGCTCACCCCGGCCTCCTCCTCCACGATGATGTCGTCTCGGCCAAGACGGTCGAGGGTCTCCTCACAACACTGGTCGACACCAACGGCGAGGTCCAGAACCAGGCCATCAAGTGTTTGGGCCCTTTCGTCAACAAGATCAGCGATAAGACGCTGCCTGTCATGATTGACAAGCTCTCTACGCTTCCCACTGGCAACACGGTCGACCAGTCTATACCCGCTATGGCCCTCCGCGAAGTCGTTATAACCCTTCCCCGTCCTACCACCGGTGCTGCGCGCAGCAAGTCGGTACAAGATGCATACAGCGCCATCAGCAGGGTCCTGATACCGCGTCTGATCGGATACAATGTTATACAACCAGCACAACAGGGCCTGACTCAACCGCCCAAGGGCATGTTGGAGTCAGACCTCGAGAAAGGCTCGGACAGCAACGCTCTCGACGTTCTCATCGAAGTCGCCAAGTGCTTTGGTCCTATGCTGCAGGATGTAGAAATCCAGGCTTTGCAGCAGATCACCTTCGCCATTCTCGAGAACGATCGGGCTAGCTCTATGATGAAGAAGAAGTCCGTCACTGCCATCTCGGTCCTGGCCGGTTACTTCTCAGACCAGCTTCTGAGCAGTTTCCTTTCAAAGATCATCGAACTTCTGCGCGATCCCCACCTCACTCGCAGCAAGCGGAAGCTGTACATTACCATCTTAGGCTCCATGGCCCGGTCGATCCCGCGTAAATTCGGTCCTTACCTAAAGACGCTGGCGCCCTTTGTCCTGGGCGCCTTGAGCACACAGGAGCAAGACGAGGAGATGGATGTCTCAGACGACGAGGGTGAGCGCGACCCCGAAATCGACGAGGTACTCGAAGCCGCCCTTATTGCTTTGGACGGTTTCCTTGCCTCCTGTCCGCAAGACATGCGCATGTACACCGACGAAACCATCGAAGCCGCGACGCGCTACCTCAAGTACGACCCTAATCTGGCGCAAGACGACGACGATGAGGACGACGATGACATGCCAAGCGACGAAGAAGACGCGCTCGAGGGCGATGACTTTGAAGAGGAGACGGGTTATGATGACGACGAGGACGCAAGCTGGAAGGTTCGTAGGTGTGCGGCCAAGGTGCTTTACACTTTGATCTCGACGCGGAGTAACGGCGATCTTCTCGACGACGGAACTCTCTACGACCGGGTTGCGCCAGCGCTTATAACACGATTCAAAGAGCGGGAAGACAACGTACGCTTGGAGGTCCTGGCCACTCTATCCAACTTGATCAAGAAGTCGGGTGACGGACCCTCGCCTGTCAAGTTCGCCGACGAGACTCCTCAGAGTGGCACAATGCCACCACCGCCTAGCAAGAAGCGTCGTCGCGGCGGTAGCGATGCCAGCATGTTTGATCTGCAGGGTAGTTCGTCCTTGTCAATGGGCTATGCTTCACCCGCACCAGCTGGCACGCCTCCGGTCGGCCCTCGCGCAAGCTTAGCTAAGATCAGCCCGGAAATTGTCAAGGGCATTGCGCAGCTTCTGAAGCAGTCATCATGCCCGCCTACCACCAAGCAGGCGTCCATCTCTCTGATCAAGGACATCGTCATCACTCAGCGTGGTGGTCTCGATGGGTACCTCAACCAACTGATCAACCCTGTTGTAGAAGCTGCGAAGATTACTGGCGGTTCGACAAGTAGTGCTTCCGCTACCGCTAACACCTTACGCACTCAAGCTTTGCAGCTGATAGGAGCCATCGCCGATACTCACTCGTCTAAATCTATCCAGCCATATGTAGCGGCTATCATTGACGCGCTCCTCCGTGGGGTCAAGGATAAGTACAGCAAGTTGTCTATCGAAGCTCTGGCAGCAACAGAGCAGGTCATCAAGGCCCTCACACCTCCCCGAGCTGCTACAGCAGGAACGGAGAACCAGCAGCATCTAGAGCAATTGTTCGATGCGTTAGTCAACCGCATATCAGCGAACGACGCTGACGTGGAAGTTCGACGGAGTGCTATTCACGTCCTTGGATTGTTGCTTGGTAGGAGCTCTGGTGAACAAGGCCTCCTCTCCTCGCCAAAGCGAACGGCTGGACTTGAACTTCTGGTAGAGCGCCTGAAGAACGAATTGACAAGGCTTGCTTCAGTACGTGCTGTTGATTCTGTCGCTGCCCACACCAAGGCGCAAAATGAGTTGTCAGCCAAATGGGTACAGAATGTCGCACTGGAACTCGCTGCACAATTACGGAAAGCCAGTCGCGTATTACGCGGTGCCAGCCTAAGCGCACTACGCACTCTCTCATTGAATTCGCTATCACGGAGCCAACTCGACAACAAGACAAAAGCGCAGGTGGTGGAGATGCTGCTTCCGCTGCTGAACGCCAGCGATCTGCACCTCCTGGGACCGGCTCTTATCATCCTGGCTACATTCGTCAAGGACGACGCGCAAGTCATCATGACGCCCAGCCTCAACGATGCCCTTTGTCAAGTTGCTCAAGGCTCGATAAGCGGAACGCCGTTGGATGCACTCCTCCAGCTAGTACGCACTATCGGAGAGCAAGGCGCCGGAAAGGCCTTGATGCAAGCACTGCTACAACAAGTCGGTGTATCTGGGCATCCAGAGGTGGTAGGCAAGGTCATTGGTAACTTGCTTGTATATGGTGGCAACAGTGTTGGCGTAAAACTTGAGCAGTTCATCACCGAGCTTGAGACGGCACAAGACGACAAGCGCAAGTGTCTTGCCCTGGTAGTGCTTGGAGAATCTGCATTGCGCCTTGGTTCGCAATCTACCATTGATCCCAAGTTGTTCATCAAGTACTTCTCTGCTAAGTCCGAGAACGTACCACTTGCGGCCGCTGTTGCGCTTGGCCGAGCCGGTGCTGGAAGTGTCAGCAAATATCTTCCCGTCATTCTTTCATCTATGGGACAGCCTTCTTCACCGCAGTATCTGTTCCTACACGCTATCAAGGAAGTCCTTCAGCATGACGACACGGAGTCGGAGATCATCCCGTACACGTCAAGACTGTGGGAAAACCTCGTTGTTGCTTCGCAGCTCGAAGACAACAAAGCGATCGGTGCAGAGTGCATTGGCAGGCTTACTATCATTGACCCGAAGACGTACCTTCCTCAACTTCAGGTAAGCCCTCATAGTCTTTTTTTTTTCAACAGCTAACTTATAATCTAGGCGTTCTTGAACGACCGCAAGGAAAGCTTACGCGCCATGGTCATTTCTGCTCTACGATACACCTTCACCGATACCGATGAAGCCTACGACGAATACCTCCGCCCCATCGTTGTACCTATGCTTGTACAGATGCTCAACGAGCCTGATCTCGAGAATCGCCGTCTTGCTCTTATGACGTTCAACTCCGCCATGCACAACAAGCCTGACATTATCCTCCCTGCGCTCGACCAGCTGCTTCCACTCGCCATGAAGGAGACTGTCATCAAGCCTGAGCTTATCCGCGAGGTGCAAATGGGTCCATTCAAGCTCAAGGTCGATGATGGCTTAGAGATCCGTAAGAGCGCATACGAGACCCTCTATGCTCTTCTTGAGAAGGCCTTTGCACGTCTGTCACCCATCGAGGTCTCCGACTTCTTCGATCGCATTGTCGCTGGTATTACCGACGAGCATGACATCCGAGTTCTGTGCAACCTCATGCTCACCAAGCTTATGGTCATTGCACCGGACCAGGTCCGCTCGCGTCTGGATTCTCTTGCCGAGAACTTCCGCACTGTACTTGCCGTCAAGCCAAAAGAGAATGCTGTCAAGCAGGAGATCGAGAAGATTCACGAAGGCGCCAAGGGCGTGCTCAAAGTGTCAATGCAGCTTAACAAGCAAATGGGCACCGAAGCCGGTATTGGTCAGGACGATTCACAGTCTCGCATCTGGGCACAGTACTGGGATCAGATCCAGAAGGAACATGAGAAGGGTCTAAAGGCTGTTGCAGAGGAGCTCAAGGAGCGTGATCGCTAGCGGCGCACAACTAGGCCCCCTCTCTGGTACCTCAACAAGTACCCAAGCGATCCTTCCCATCCGTTATATTTCAGTTTCCGCTAAAAGTTTGCGCGATGAGATAGCACTAGAAGGACATGAAGGGATGTTCGAATGCATGATATGAGAATGGCGCGAAAATGGGAAGTAGAGAAGGCAACTGGTGATCGCATCGAAGCGATATGAATACGAAACATGATACCATTCAAATCATCCCGGGTGAACTCTAGCATGTGCAGTGATGTCGTGACATGACCTATCCACCATCTCATTGGCAATCTTACCCAGCTAGCTTACTCATCCTCTCCATTTAGAACCCCATGTCTCCCAAAAAGACCCATCGCCAGCAGCGCGAAATGCCCCCCAACGACTGGCCTTGCCACAAACGGGTAATCAGTATAGCCCCCATCCCCCGTCGTCATAAAGTGATCCGAAAGCGCCTTGTCTGTACTCGTCTCATTGATCCACTTCGCCAACGAGTTCACAAACAAAGCCCGCGTCTCAGGTCGACTAGTAGCCGCAGCCCACATCTCCCAATCGCTCTTCGTCCACAGGCGTCTGTTATCGAGAGGAACGCCATACTTCTGGGCGACAGTCGGGTAAAAGTCTGACTGCATGGTGAAGAGAGATTTGGGGATTGCGCGCAGGTTGAAGAGTAGGGCGGGGAAGATGTTGTAAAGGATGCTATAGGACTCAGGGAGGTTGTAAGCGAGAAGAGTATGGTTGGTTGCGGGGTCTATGGCTGATTCGGACCAGAGGGTATAGTAGAAATATGCGTTGCGTATCCATCTGCCTGCTCCATAGCCTCTGTCGCCATTGGCTTGGGCTATGATACCCATGCAATTTAGGGCTACGATGCCTTTTATTGCGAGGTTGGTGTTGTTGGCGATGGGTTCGTTGAAGTCATCTTCAGGCTCGTTAGTACAACGTTCTTGGTGTTCACATGCTGCTCTGTACTTGCCTGTCGTGGTCTGATGCTCAGGGTATGGGCAATTTTCTACGAGGTATTCCGACCATCGCTTGAGGATATCGTAGTGGCTAATAAGGAATGCTGTGTCGTTGGTGGCTAAGTAGTACGAAGCTGCCAGAATAACCATGTTCGCGCTCTCTTCAACGGGCATCGCTTCTTCTCCTTCTTCATCAGGAATGGTGGAGCTGTAGTATCCTATGGCGTTTGGGTAGAAGCGCCCGATATCGTGCATGGCGTATCGCTCGTGATAGAGTCCAGACTCCTGAAACTCGAATACTGGCTTGAGCAGTAAGCGGAGAAGCTCCGGGTTTGCATAGAGCCAGAAAGGTAACGCAGGGTAGACGACATCGGCCGTGTTCACTTTGCCGTCTGATGAGATCTCTTTTTGAAAGATAGTTGGACCCGTGGTGTTATCTGCGGATTCTGTGAGAACGTTTGCGGCCAGGATCTGGCGGGCAGAAAGTGCGACGATGGCGTAATACGACTCCTCTTCAGATAGCGAGGATGCTTCTGCATGCATATCTGTTGCTTTATCCTCGGCATAGTAGTACTCCACATCATTTCGCAGCTTCATGGTCCAAAGTTTGGCCTCTTTTGCGGTAGCTGCGTAGTCCTGGTAGTGCCTGCGGATCATGTAGTTGGTACTATAATAGCAGTTGCTCGTAAGCCACCATGGTCGGAGCTCGACGTCCCCGCTAGCAGTGCGGTAGTTCACAGCAGGCTCTTGAGTCGTGCCAACAGTATACAGTGCTGACCCGGACTGACTAGACCCAAAACTATGCAAGAAACCGGACACTGGCATGCGATCAACTGGTGGTCCCTGAGACTGGTCCTGGTCAAGGGTATTATTCACTGTGCCGTCCTTGACGAACTGGCGTCGTACAGTGGTCGCTGGACCGTTCACACTATCGAATTTGGTGCTCATGCCGGGAGAAGAGACGTAGTGTAGGCTACCCCAGTATGGTTCTTGCTTGTGGCCACGATCGGACCATGAAAGCTCATCTACAATTAGTGCTTCCCTTGAAGCTGGTTAGAGTTATACTGAACATACTTTGATCCAGCAACTTACCAATGAAACAATGTGTCGGGCGTCTCCGTTCCCTTGGGCGGGCATTGGGTTTCGCCGAAAGACTCACCAGGGCAGTCAATGGTCGAGTTGAATGATACGTTGCCGCCCCCAAGCCAAATAGAATCGATGTCTGAGTAGAGCTGTACATCATGCGAGAGCTTGTCGGTGGCGACCCACTCGACTTCCAGATAGCTGAGCGGAATACTGCTCTTGCAAAGATCCTTTGGTAGAACAGGAGAGAAGAATCGCGCCTCTACTCGGACAGGTCCAGCGTCGAATGTAAAGTTACTGTAGTGGGAGTCGTAAGATACGGTAAGTGGAGTTGCTTTCTGGAGACCTTGTACGGAGGGCGAGTCTCCCATGTACTCATAAGCCGTTCCGTCTACGCGTATGATGCCACTCCATCCTATGGGATCGCCGGTCCAGAAGGTGACATTCCGACTATTAAGCGTGCTACCGCCGGAGGTGGTGCTCCAAGCGCTAGTGTATGGGGAGCGGACTGCGAGAGGGATGGAAGGTGGTCGCAAAGGTGAGTAAACCGGTCTAGAGAGAGTGAGCAATGTAAAAGACGGGTTATAAAAAGACGAATCCGCTGTCTTACCCTGCTTGTTGCGCAATGGTGTTAGCTATACAAAAGAGGAGAAGCAGAAGATATGAAAACATGTTGTCTGACATTGCTTGAGCATACAGCACGACACTGTCTCCCATGATGTGATATGTAGAAGGCATCCAGAGACAAAGGTCTGTACTCGTGCTCAACGGCGCACAGCGCCTGTCAGAAGGCATGGTGTTCAATAACCGGAACGTTACCTCGATAAGGCTCCTCGCAGCATCGTGTTATACAGAACATGACTTTTGGGGTTTGTGTCAACGTAGATGCCTATCTAGGCAGGACCATAGATGAATCAAGTTATCCCCGCGTGCTTGCGCTCACGATGAGCATGCCGTGGGTCTCTTTTTTCCAGGTGCGCAACTGTTTCGAGCCTATATTTTCCCCACACCACACTGCGTACGATATAGATGACAGCTCATCTGATCAGCTCGATAGCGTGTGATGACCATGCAAGCTTGCCCGGCCGCGTCGCGTCTCGACGCAGCTGGGAGGCCAACGCGTCATCTACAGCCTACAATGTCCTGTTCACACAGGCCCGGATATTTCCACATATCCAGCTCACATATATTGTCCAGTCTCTCCATCTTTGTAGGTCTCAGCGCGCGAGTATGGCTTTCCGACATTGCTGGCAGAGCCTCCGGGCGTTGGGCAGACGGAGGTTCGCGCTCGTGTGAGTCGGCACCGCGCAAGCTCAGTATCGATTGGTAACGACCCACGAAGGCGAGATGGGATACGTAAGTGTTGGCACGACGCGTCAAACGTTGCTTTCGTTCGCTGGGGGAAGGATGTGAGGCATGTGCTCAAAAGTCGCGTTGTTCGCGACAAGCAGAGGAGGACGGCGGACTTGCGCCAAACCGTTTCGGATCCGACATGTCCGGACGAGCCTCCTCCGGGCGCTACTTCCAGATGTCCGCTCGTTCATCATCTCTCAACCACAACACTACCACGTCGATTGCAGCTCTGGAAACGCCTGAATCACTGGCGAGTCCTCGCTACAAGTCATTTACGTTAGTATAGTGTAGCTGGGCGTAAGCACAACGCATGTCAGCCTTGAACGCCACCAGCCAATCTAGTCTGCCCTATAAAGGTGTAAAAACAGAGCAGTATGACTAAGGTCGATTCGTCGGTCTCATAGACGTCCGACGCGGTATGCATGCCGTAATCTTCATGGCTTCATGGCGTTTTGGCGCTGTAGAGATGACTACATAAGACGTAGAGGCAGCCGTCTTGCTGTATGCTCAGCACATCAAACCCTACCTACCTAAACATACATTGACAAAAACCTCAAAAGCTATCATTATGACTTCCAGTTCCACACATCAACCAAAGCAAGTCGCCGACCTGCTTGAAGGCCAACGCAAGGTCGATGTGTACGAGGCTACAGGCGGTGCCGTGACTTCCCAGTTCGCAGCACACAACCTCTCGCTCCTTCCGCCCATACCTCCGAATGCCATCATCCACGACAACGCTTGTGGAGCCGGTACAGTCTCTCGGAAGATTCTCTCCACAAACAAACCCTCAGGTCTCAAGATCCACGCCACAGACATCGACCAAGTCTTCCTCGACGCACTCCAATCAGACGTGCAGAAGAACTCCTGGCCCATCGAGGTATCGAATCAGAAGTCGGAGAACCTGTCGTTTCCAGACGAACACTTCACACACTCTATCAACAACATCGGCATCTTCTTCACCAGTTCCGCTGGTCTCGACGGCGCCAAGGAAATCTACCGCACACTCCAACCCGGCGGCACCGCAGTAGTAAACTGCTGGGAAGACGTCACCTGGCTCCCGCCCTTCGCACTCGTGCATCAAGCCCTCCGTCCAGAGAAACCGTACCCCGCACCGCCTATACTTTGGAAAGACGGTCAGCAGATCCAGAAAGTGGTGTTGGAGGCAGGTTTCTCGCGAACAAACATGAGGGTAGAGAAAAGTGAGGCATGGGCAAAGACTAGCGATTTGAGAGACTGGGCGGAGAAATCTTGGGCATATTTGGGTGGCATAGGTGGATGGGCGGAGACAGATGGAGAAAGATGGGAGGAGGCGGTTGAGCTTCTGGTGAAGCATCTTTTGGAGCAAGAGGGCACGAAGAAGTGTGGATGAGAGCTAGTCAGTGGGTGGTCATTGCTACGAAGTGAGTATAGGTGATATCAGCTGCTGGCATTGTTGTAAGGCAATCATTGATATGTCAAAGGATTTAGTTTATCATTGGGAGCTATAGAGTCCAAACATGTACTGCAGAGCTGCCAATGATCATCATGCGCAATCACTGTTCATAGCCATAGCTAGGCCGTTCCCCCTCTTCCGTTCACTCATGATCCTCAGTCGAACACTGGACTTCGGCATTTAAGCGCAAGCCATGACATAGATCATGCCAGAAGATGGACCAGGAGTGTTGGAACTAAAAACCGCGGAATGCTTCACGGGTGTGTTTGGTGGAGTCTTGGGCCTCGGTGGTGGTGTGGTGCCAGTTTTAGCGTCCTTGACAAAACGGTCAGCTCAACTACAGGATTAGATTCTCGAAAGATAGTACTCACAGAGGGCTCTGGTAGAGGAAGGTCTCCTCGTCTCTTTTCGGGCGTATTAGGCGGCGGTGCTGGCGAAGAAGGAGGTGTGTAACCAGTCTTAGCGTCCTTGAGACAACAGTCAGTTCACTTGCTCATCGGTTTCTCGGAAAGCGATCCTTACAGACGGCTCTGGAAGCACAAAGTCTTCTCGTTGCCTGTAGGGCGATGATGGAAGACCGGAAGGTGGCCCCAGAGGCTTTGGAGGCGCCGGACCAAGGTTCTTGTATGAATGTTAGCTTCTGTATGATGAACGTCTTTTTACATTCTGGGTACTTACACATTTATATCCGCCCGGAGGTGTTGGAGGTGGGGTGTCAGGAGGGTTGGGCTCGGGACCCTTGCTTGAGTTCGGAAGACGAGGAATCTGTTCACTGAACAGAGGTTGGTCGATGTCGCACATGGTGTTTGTGTAACTGATGGTTATTGCTTGAATAAGTTGTAGGGTGCTGTTACTAGTATTGTAGTGGATGCTGTAGCTGGGTGGTGGTAGAAGTTGCAGTGGTAGTTATGTAGGAACCAATGGAGCGCATAGCGGACATGGTTTATATACCTCTCTAACTGATTCAATCTTCATGATTTTGTGCTCTTCAAGGGCAATGGCGTTTAGGGTATTGATGGTGCCGTGAACAGGATAGGGAATGGCGAGATTGCGATAGCGGGCGATTCTTGAAGGTGATACCGTTATAGCACTTGCGATCGATGGACCAAACACCCGACTCCAGTTCTAGTATGAATATTCAGATATTGGAGTAGCCTTGATTGATGCCGACTGATGGTTCGCCGGTTCTTCCAAGCCTGACCACGTTTGCGGGAACGCCCAATCACTCAATGTGGACACCTTGAGTGTTTAGCTGTGTGCATCGCGGGAATGACAAGGAATCACCCAACAAGGCAACGCAAAATGATTCTTCAATCGATATTGATAAGCCCACCATGGTGAGCAGTAAACATTAAGTATGTTACATATATGTACACGTGCAGTCGGACCTCGTTATCAACAAAGTAAGAACAGTCTTCCAGCGACTGAAACCTTCCAACAAAAGGTGGTATATCGAGCACCACCCAAAGCAACCCCAAAAGTCGGTGCTTGACCACCATCCAACATCGATACAAAAGACAATTATAAGATGTAGCGAATGTATAGAGTAAGGGGTATAACGCAGAACATATGGTAAAGTAACAGCGGACTGGCCGGGTATCAGAAAGAATGAAGAGGGTGAATATTCATGCAAAAGGCCCAAACAAAAACCAGATCGCTAAAGGACGTGACAAATGAAAAGCAAAATATGAGCAAGAAGAAGCAACGACAACGGTTATGCGAGAGGTGCATGGTTCACGCCATCATCATGAGCCTTGTACCGCGCTTCTGGAGGTTTCGCGGTCTGTAATTGCCCGGGCCTAGGTTACTTCTCGGAGGTGCTGCGGCGCTTTGCGCATGTCGATCACAGTATCGCCGGCCAGCGACTTCAAAGTAGCCGTCGCGGAGGACGATGCGGCAGGTCGTGCACGTGAAACATCTTGGGTGAAACTTCTGGCGCAAATCGGTTTCGAGATATTGGCCTTCGATGCCCCGGTTGCAGGCATTGCACAAAGATCCGTTGAGCTTGTGGTAGTGCTGTTCGCAATATGGCGAGTTCTCGAAGACATAGAACTCCGCTGTCGGGAAGGGATCAGCGCACGTTCTGCACGTGAAGCAATGCTTGTGGTAGCGTCCCGTAAGGCGGCCGGAAGAGTCCTTCACGGACTTTCCAACAATTGGCTCCGAGCACCCACGACAGTTGCCTTTGCTAGCAGCCTTAGGTCGGCGCACGTCTTGTTGCTGGGGTTCAGGCTCGGCCATGCGTCTTGGTGGGCTTACATTGACTTGCGCCGGGTCCTGGGGTGTTGCCGGCTCTCTTTCGAATGTGTCACGCGGTGTTGACGCGCCCATCTGTATGGCGGGGTCCATTGGCGACTCAGGGTATTTCGCATATCCTCCAGGCGGAAACGTGTCCTGGCGATATCCCGGTGAAAGCGACCTTGGGTACGGCTCCGCCCCATCGGGCCGCATGTAACTCTTCGGCGCTCGAACAGGCCGTGCTTCGGCGTAGGACTCCGGGCTTGCGCTTCTCTCAACATTCTCCTCGACGATGTTGTCAGGACGACTGATCTTGGAAGTCTGGCGTGAGTGCGCAGCCTCGGACTCTGGGGGGCTTGATCTGGAGCTTGTCATGCTGCGGTAGCCCGAGCTGGCGTATGAATCGTCTGAGAAGCCAGAGTCCGAAGGGGTGTGGAGTGCGTTCATGGGCGCATCACCGAGCCCAGAAGCTGCTAGTGGCGGTGGACGTAAGGAATGCGTTGGCGCAAGGCCTCGTGGCATGTCGCTTTCCGAGCCACTTCGGCTTGAGCCGCGAGAAGGGAACATGTTGTTTGAGAGAGACATGAACTCCGGGGGGTCCAGATCGGTCATGTCTGCTGGCGGTAGATCTTTTTCTGAAGGCCTCCTAGGTCTTGGTGGGGGTTCTTTTCGCTCTCTGCTGTTCGGTCGTGACGGAATTGACCTTGCAAGGTTTTCTTGGGAAGCTCTGGAAGGCTTGGTAGATTCCTTCTGCAAGCGGTCTAGGAAAGCATCAATACCCTCAGCCTGTTCGGACGTGGATGGCAGTGGTGGCAGCGCATTGGCTCCACCCATACCCGGCTTCGGGCGAGCAGGAAGACCTATGCTGCGATTGGAGTGTGCTGAACTCCGCGACGCATTCGATGTTGTGGAAGTACGCTGTTTCGACACGCTCTTATTACTGGCGATACTGCCGTTTGTGCCCATCCTTCTATGCCCAAGCGCCGGTCCTTCTTCCGCGAATGGTCTTGCTGCGCTTGATGTGCTCGGCCTTCGGTCTGCCGTTCCGTCGAAGGGTCCTGGTGCAATGCTGTTCATGCGCTTGGCGATGTTCTCTCCACCATCAAACCGGGGGCTGAGGGGTGCGAATAGAGGGCTTGGTTGAGCATAGTTTTGCTGGAAGGGTTCCAGGCGTTCTCGTGGTTGAGGTTTAGCGCTCTTAGGAGTACCGTTCTTGGAGGGAAATCGGGGAAAGGCGCAGTCCAAGTTGGAACTGTAATCGGGCGATGGGGGTGCCATGGGTCGCCCAACCGGAGTTGTCACACTGCGGTTCATCTTGAAAGGAGACTTTGGTGGCGCCAGACCTGGGGATCGACTCTTGTAGTCAACTTGGTTGCTCATTGGCGATGGTTCCAGCGGCCGGAATGGTTTGTCTAAACAGATCAGCACAATGTCTACTACTCAAATTGATTTACTCTTCTGGATGCTTACTCGCTGCATTTGAATCGATTCTGGGCGGGGGAGGCATGCGCCCCGATTGCGCTGGACGTTCCGAGCGGTTGCTGAACGTGGGACCGCCAAAGGTTGCTGCGCGGTTCATCTTGGGCGACAGTATAGAGGGCGGGGAACCCATAGAGATGGTCGAGGTGGGCGACATTGGCTCAGGAGCGGGCGTTGCTGCAACTGATGAGTGTGTGTTATAGTGTGCATTCGTGGCGTACTCACCCGCTGGGGGTGCTGCAGCGCAGACATGGTCGGCTAAATGGAGGATGTCAATGTCCACCGCGCAGGATGAACACTTGATAGTCGGAAGCGTGCTCATTCGTTCCATGTTGGGCGCGTATGCGGTGCTGGTTCAGAGAGGGAGTCCGAGGCGGTTCGTGCCTGGACATTCAGTATTAAGGCCGTTCACGTCCAGCGGAATATCGTCGTAAGGCTATCTCGAAGATGGTGGCACGAGGTGGGAGCAGGCAAGGTATGCGGCGGTGGTCGAGGACGGATGATGGGCGGGAGCGCCGAGAAACAAAGGTGCAGGGTTGTTGGATCCTCAGAAACGGTGTGGGTGGGCCTTGCTGAATCAGGGGAAGCACATGCGGGCGTCGTTCTGAAGTGGCTAGCAGCCAGGGACGGCAGCGGGATAATGGCTAGCCTCGCTGCGTCCTGCGGTCTAAGAGGCTGCTGGGCCCCACAATCGACACGCGCAATGTTGGGTATTTGATGCTAATGAATTATCCTCATGAGATAGATAATGACCGCGTCTGAGCGCCGGCCACCCACAGCCCGCTGAGCACAACAGGGCTGATCGGCATTAGAGATGAACACCCAATCGCCAGCCAGTCGCAAGGGACGACGCGCCCCCTTCTGCGCGTCTTTGTGTGTCCTGCACGTAACTCGCGCGTCCCTGAGATGCGGCGTCAGTGGTCGAGCACGGCGGCCTCCATGATTCGATGGCCATGTGCACGGGACGGCGGCCTGTACCTAGCTACCTGGGCATGGGCACATCGTGTGGTCCTCTCCGTGTCAGTTGCACGCACCAGAGGCGGCCGGCTGCGATGAAACCATAGTCGCTGGCGTAAAGTCTCGGACCCAGCACCGTCGCAGTGACGATGTCACGGTTGCGACCCAAGACCAACAGAGTTCGCAAGCTCCAGGAGGTCGCAAATCGCGGCAACAACGTTTGCCAGATGCGTGCACCGTGTATAGCCAAGTCCTGCAGCGACGAGCAGGTGGCTTGAGGCTCTGGTCGCCTGCTGCCCATGCGCTGGTATAAGCCACCAGGGCCGGACATTACTCTCGGGCTTGATTGGCCACACGCGGCATCGTTCTCGTTGGTCGATCGACGCTGCAGATACAAATTATCCATAACTAAGCGCCCCTTTCGCTACGTCAACAGTTTCTCGTCCGCAATGTTCCCATCAGCCATGTTCTCACGTCGGCGTGGCCCGCGACACACAGTGCTTGACATGTCGCAGGTGCTGGAAGTTTCGAACTGCTCGCATGCCGTTGCGCCAACTGCTGCCCTGGGGAGACCCATCTCCCTGCGTGCCTGTCTCCGTCTGCATGCAGCATGGTGGCCTAACATGGTTCCCTTGGCGAACGGCGAGGCTGATTGTCGATCAGCAAACTTCCCATGCAGGTTGCCGCATTCGTCGTTCTCCCAGCCGACCCCAGGGTCTCCCCCATGTTGCTTGCCATCGCGGCTAATAACACCAAGAAAATAATGTCAACACTGGTCTCGTATGGACACTTTGCCAGCAAGCAGCATCTGTCATCTGTCAACAGTAGCCGTCTTGCATCGCCGAGACTCCACACAAAAATACGCTGCGGATTGTGTCGCGTGCCTTTTTTTCGTTCCGTAAACATGTCTGACGCACACAGCGTATCGGGTGCTACCACAGTGCTTGACTGACGACATCACCGTGCTTTGAAACAGTCCGTGGCTCAGACACCGTCCAAATGCCATGCTTGCCATTCTGGCGCCAGGCCAATTCCCATATGCCTGAAAACTCTTACACATCGACACCCGGCTCCCGAGATCCCCTCTCTGTAGTGTTGCGCACGTGATGGCGGGGTCCGTATCTCCGTACCCGTACCTAGGTACTCTAGCACTAGCTACACACCTGTCCAGTACGTAGCTCATAGGAGGAATTAAACAGTTCCCACAGCGGTACACTCGAGCATGCAGAGACAGCTGTCCATGCAATGTGCCTTCGCTTAATGCCAACAGAGCGCTCTCGTCGCGTCGCTTACATCGTCACCTTCCCTACTGCGGTTGTCGCTGCTGCTTGTTGAGGTAGTGAGGGAAATAGTGGGGCAAGGCGAGCATCGCGAATACCACGGCTACGCGCCATTGGTGTTGCACATCCCGAAGACGGCTACGGCGATAGACATTAGCATGAAAAGTGGGGAGTATGGAAGGTACAGGCAAAGAAGCGGTGGGTGAACACGCTGTCCGGCAGGAAGCGGGAGCGATTGCGTACGATTATTGCTAAGTCAGCCGGACACGGGAGGCATTTATATCGCGACTTCTCTCCCTCGTTTCTCACCCCACCGCACACCACCGATTGTAAACAGCAGCCCACTGTCAAGCTTACAATCTCTCTCCCTTCTATCAACCACACCCAGATTTCCCCGGGCCATTGCCCAGCTGTCAAGACGTTTTCCAATCTCCTCAGCTCGTATGTGCCCCGCCATAACCCCATGGGGTCGCCTTTACTTACACTTGACAGGATCCACAACCCATTCGCCGGCCGACGCACTTCTCCCTCTGGGGCAGCGTCGGATTTAGACTTCCGCAACTAAGTTCACCAACTCAACAAGAACTTGAATCATCATGGCACCACACGCAGAAGAGGCCGTCGGTCACGCGAATGGGTTCGAAGCGAAGGCAACTCCCAAGGATCTCTTTGTCGTCAGCTCTCCTAACGTAGAATACACCGAGGATACTATCAAGTCAAAGTACACTTACCGTACCACCGACGTTACCAAGAACGACGACGGCAAGTATGTAGCTATCCCCAAGGAGACGCTCTACGACTTCAAGGTCGACCGCAAGATCCCCAAGACTGGTGTTATGCTGGTTGGCTGGGGCGGCAACAACGGTACTACGGTCACGGCCGGCATCATCGCGAACAAGCGTAACCTCGTTTGGGAGACCAAGGAGGGCAAGCGTGGCGCTAACTACTATGGTTCGGTCATCATGGGATCAACCACCAAGCTCGGTGTCGACAGCAAGACTGGTCAAGAGATTCACATCCCATTCCATGACCTCCTGCCTATGGTCCACCCCAACGACCTCGTCGTTGGCGGATGGGACATCAGCGGGATGAACCTCGCTGAGGCCATGGACCGCGCCAAGGTTCTGTCACCGTCCCTCAAGTCTCTTGTTCGCAAGGAGATGAGCGCCATGAAGCCTCTTCCTAGCATCTACTACCCGGACTTCATTGCTGCCAACCAGGAGGAACGTGCCGACAATGTTCTCGAAGGTACCAAGGCTTCCAATGCCCATGTTGAGCAGATCCGCAAGGACATCCGGTAAGCCGAGACTCGATGCATATCAAACCCACCTTTACTGACGATATTGTAGTGACTTCAAGTCTGCCAACGGTCTCGACAAGGTCATTGTGCAGTGGACTGCTAACACTGAGCGCTATGCCGACATCGTCGAGGGCGTCAACGACACGGCGGACAACCTGCTCAAAGCGATCGAATCTGGTCACGAAGAGGTTTCCCCGTCGACTGTCTTTGCTGTGGCTTCCATTCTTGAGGGTGTTCCCTTCATCAACGGTTCCCCTCAGAACACGTTCGTTCCTGGTGCTATCCAGCTCGCCGAGAAGCACAACGCCTTCATTGGCGGTGACGACTTCAAGTCGGGTCAGACCAAGATGAAGTCGGCCCTCGTCGACTTCATGATCAGCGCCGGTATTAAGCTCACCTCGATTGCCTCCTACAACCACTTGGGCAACAACGACGGCATGAACCTCAGCTCTCAGAAGCAGTTCCGCTCCAAGGAGATCTCCAAGTCCAACGTCGTCGATGACATGGTCGCTGCCAATAACGTTCTGTACAAGGAAGGCGAACACCCCGACCACTGCGTCGTCATCAAGTACATGCCTGCTGTTGGAGACGACAAGCGCGCTCTTGACGAGTACTACGCGGAGATCTTCCTCGACGGCCACCAGACCATCAGCTTGTTCAACGTTTGCGAGGACTCTCTCCTGGCTTCGCCTCTGATTATCGATTTAGTTCTGGTCGCTGAGATGATGACCCGTGTCCAGTGGAAGGCCCACACTGCCGAAGGCAGCGATGGCAAGTTCAACAACTTCCACAGCGTGCTCAGTGTCCTCAGCTACATGCTCAAGGCTCCTCTCACTCCTCCTGGCACCCCTGTTGTCAATGCTCTTGCCAAGCAGCGTGCGGCTCTCACCAACATCTTCCGCGCCTGCGTCGGACTTGAGCCAGAGAACGACATGACCTTGGAGCACAAGCTCTTTTAGGTCTCTGGATGAACTGATGGCGGGCATGCATGTTGATGGTGCCAGCTGGCAGACGGTGCATGAGCTCTTGAAGCACATGTCACTCACCATTTGATTTGACCAACTCACTACTTTCTTTAAAGCAATAAAATTCTGTTTACGAAATCCGCACGCATATGCAACATTGTCGGTTTTCGGTGAGCTAATAGTGGTGATCAGGCCATACGCTTCATTGCCTACGCATGTGCACATAACAGATATGGCCGATTGTGGTGTGGATGGTGCGACTTCCTTGTCGTGGTTCCAACGTGGGTCGCACTTACGCAAACAGCAGGAACGTTCCTGCTTCGATCCTCACCTCATGAGTTACTTCAGAGACTGCCACACCAATACCTCCAACTCGCGCCAAACGAGAAAATGCCCGCGTCTTCGTCAATACAGTCTTACTTCTCATCTTCGCCTACGAAAAGCAGTGATGTCTTCACAGCAGAGGACGTACAATCCACTACTGCGGAAGGAGCGACCACGGCAGGTACATGGGCTGTAACGTATCTCCCTCAATGAACTTCAACCCATCGCTAATGTACGGAAGCCCACTCTCGACTACGAAGAAGCAGACCTAGACACACTTGAACCTGGCCCTTGCAACCTTACCCTCATGGGCCGTATCGTCTACTTCAACGACCAGTCCAAACCCAGCAAATCACATAAAGCAGCCCAGGGTTGCATCAAAATCCTACTTGCAGACGACACCGGAGTACTCACCGTCCGCCTTTGGTATAACAATACCCACTACAAGCTCAAGCTCGGGCAGCTGCTCAGCGTGTGGACGGTGCATATCTCGAACTCTTCAGAGTACAACTCACTGGCACCGAATACTGCGCCGCTGTTCACTACGATATTCCCCGAAGGCGAGAGGCACTGCCATGTCATGGTGCATGAGAATAGCGATGATGGGACAAGGTTCAAAAGACCGTATGGTGTGCGGGACAACAGAGTGCTGAGTGGGTTGATGACACTGAAGACATTTACTGATGGCGGTTATGACATCGAAGAGCCGAAACTACTGGTATGCGTCAAGAGTATTGGCGCGCGGAAGAAGTGTGCGTGGCTTTCCTCTTTACGATATCCTCGATTATGATTCACGGCTAACTTGCCAACAGACATAAACCGCAACAGCACAACCTCTGAACTCATAACACTCGGCATCTTCGACGACACATCCGACGGCCTCCTCACGCTATACTCCTCCATGTGCGACTCAGCCTCCCTGTTCGTCCCCTCAGAAACCGTCCTCCTCATCTCAAACCCTGGATGGCGTATCGACAAAATGGCCAAGCTCACAATCAGCGGCAACTCACGTGTCGACATCGACCCCGACATGGGTGATGCGCGGCGACTGAGAGCCCTAGCACAAAGGTTGACGAAGAAAGAGCATGTCAACCCGCCGTTCCCCATCGCCGACGATGTAGTCGAGGGCTTCGAGAATGCAGCCGTGAGAGCACTGTATACACTTGCGGATGTTGATGATGTCGCTCGCTCGCTGTCGAGCAAAAGGTCCAGAGAAACTATCGCTGGGTACCTGAGCGTCATCATCACGGAACTCAATATCGTCACGCCGTTCAAACGGAATATGCTCATGAGTAATGAGTGCTGTGGTATACCCATCTTCGCCAACAGCACTCAGGTCATGTGTAAGCAGTGTGAGAAGCTTGTTGAGCTGAGAATCAATCCTAGGATAGTAAGTCACATCTACCCCTCGCATCCCCCGTTCGCCACATCCTCTTCTCTTACCAATTCTCGACTCTCGCAGCTCGGTCCCCTCCTCGACGAAACCGGCCAGATCAGCAGCGGTAAGCTTATCCTCTCTGACGTCGCGTGGACCCAATTGCTCGGTCGCTCGCCAGAGCAGCTCGTCGATACCCGTCTCGATGTCCTTCGTTATCTGGAGCAGCGCTTGCTGTTCCTGCGTATCTCGGTGGGGTTTGCGCTGAAGCTTGAAGATGAGATTGGGAGGCTGGCTGTGTGGTGTGTCAAGAGCTGAGTGAGAGTGACTGAAGGAGACACATAGAGAGATGAACAGGATCTAAGGTTCTGGGAACGAGATCTGTCATGACATTTCAAGAATGTTCGAGCGCACTACGTTGATCGAATGAGTTGCCTGGCGTGGCTCAAAATGGGTATGATGGTATTCCTTCTCGAAAACATTTACACGAAAGAGTCAAGAAAACAGAAGGGTATATCGTATCCTCCCAGTCCGTTCCCAAGCCCGTAAACACCATGCGAAGATGCGTCAATGGTGTGTGTCTCTAAAACAAGGTGAAAAGGGTCAAAGAAAGTGCGCCACATAGATCATTCTCATAAGACCTCCTAGGAGTGTCTGTTCGGATTGTCAATCCTTGCCCGTTCCTGCCGGCAACTTTGGTATTGATTGCAGCAGCGAAGTTATTCTTAGTGCTCGCCAAGTACACCAGCAAGGCCTCTCAATATATCGCCGACTCCAATTCCTTCTGTGCCCACTCTTTCCTTCGCTTCCCGGTCTCGCTCTTCCAACCTCTTAGCCGCAGTACCCAGCACGCGATCCGCTACCCGTTCGGCCGTTGCGCGATACTGTTCGATCTTATGAACGCCGTCTGCGAAAAGGTCGATGTGCGGTTCTAGCGAGTCGGCGAGGTACGTGAGATGTGATTGTAGTGCTGTAGGCGAAGTGAATGTGAATGCTGACGTTGGTGGTTGTATTTGTGATGACTGGAGGGAGGAAAGTATGGCGGCTTGGGCGGGATCGAGGAGAGACGTGTCGATTTCGGACAGTGTAGGTGTTGATGTCGGTATTGAGGGCGCGGGTGGCGGGGGCTTGGTTTTCGAAGCTGATGCAATGGCTTCCCATGCGGCTTTCTCTTCTTCGAGGCTGCTTCGCTGTTAGCATGGAGCAAATATAGGACACGCGGACTCTGTGACGTACCGCTTGACTTCCTCCTCCAATTCCTCCAATGTGGCTTTGTTCTTCTCGTTCTGAGGATTCGGCTTCTTAACCACAGGTGGTGGGGCTACTTCTTCCTGTAAAGCTATTAGCTCATGCTCTTGCCTCGATGGAATTGATCCCCATACCCTGCTGAACCAGTCGGAAAGCTCGGGTTTGCTTGCGAAATCGTCTATGAGTTCTTGTTGAATAGCTCGCGCTGCGCTCCTGTCAGTCTTCGTCTTGTCCGCCCTGCTTCGTTTGGACATACCAGCCATAATCGCATTCGCGTTCTTCACGTCGCCTGATGGTTTTGCTGGTAAAGCTCGCGATCCGCACCATGTCAAGAGCTGCTTCATCCGTCGTGGTTCGGGTAGGCTCTGCTCGATATATTTGTAGAAATCTCGAACTTCGACTTCTGAGTGCGGTAGCGCTGCGGAAGTGTTAGTATCCACCGATCCCCAGGGGGCGCTTTTCCATGCCGTTAGGGTCCTGTGCCCAGCCCTCCTGTGCATCATTGCTTGACTCACCATTCGACTGGCCGCTGTCAATCAGCGAGCTTGCCCTTCTCCCTCGCAAGCCTGTGCTACTCCTTCTCGACCCATCTTTGTTGCCGCCTTTCCGCATCTCTTTGTTCCTCGTAATAACTGGGGTGTCCGCAAAGGGCAGCATGATCTTTTGAGCGTTGGGATCGCGCTTCTTTGCGACTTGTATCTTGTTGTGTGTCGGTGTTTGCACGCCTGCATACGCGCTCTTAGGCTCTGGCTGTGCTTCAGGAGCTGGTGTGATCTGCTTCTTCCTTTCCTTCTCTACGGGCGCGGTCTTCTTTGTTCGTGATTTCGCCGGTGGAGGTTCTGTAGACTTTGGTCGCACTTCCAGCTGCCTACTGTCACCAGATATGCGCGCTGAACGCCGACGCTTTCCCGAGTCTGAGGATTCCGGATCGGCTGCCGCGATTGACTGTTTCTTCCGCCGCGCAGTAGATTTGGCCGGTTGCGCTTCGGCAGCGCGCGCGAATGTTGCTGGTTCGTCCTCGGGTATTGGTTCTGGTGCCAGCACAGCCTGTGCCTTGGTAGTCCTTCGCGACGACGTGCGACGCGAAAATTGGAAGCCATCATCGTCCTCGTCGTATGCAGCTGCCTTTGCTGTCTTCTTTGGCGCAGCAGTCGCCTTTTTGCTCGTCCCATTCACGTCCGCCTTTGCTCGTTTGGTCGTCGGCGCCGGCGCATCATCGTCGTCGAAGGCTTGTCTTGCGCTCCTTCGTCGCGTCGTGGGTCGGTTTGTTGCCATAGGAAGCGATTGGAGCGGTGGGCGCGCGAAGACGGTAGTCATGAGTCCAGTTGCTGCGTCACGGGAGTTTCGGGGAGTTGAAGTTCGGTCAAAGCGCGTGCATTGGCGCGACAAACGGGCGAGCGCAGACGGGGCGAGCTACGCAGGATGTGCGGTCGACGAGAGGCTGGTACGCGTGCAATTAGGTATGTGCCTGGGTATCCGGGGCTCGTAATGATTTGGCGGTAATGCGAATATCCTTAGGCGTCGGGCGTGGAGGGGAACGGTTGTCACACGGGAGCAAGGAAGCTGGTGTGTGCACCTGCCGCCAGCATCATCAAAACAATGGTTTTGGGACTAGCGCGTTCACGTGAGCCTTTAGCGCTCCCCACACCAACGAACGCGCTCACTTCGGCTGCTCTCACTCGGCCTTGGGTGCAGTAAGCCAAGGTTCAGAAGATGATGATGGTTTGTAGGATCCGCACCGGCTGCGCTGCATGTATATAAATAAAGTCTTCGTAGGAAGCGAAGGTAAAGCCGCTCAAAAACGCCCAAGAACAAGCGACTACCCATGCCGCCAATCCATATGCTCTCATACTTTCATGACCACGTTACTCCAGACACGCCAGAACAATGTTGAATATCCAAGCCTGCCCATTTCCTTTTGTGTATTCCATTTCTTTTGCACTTCAGTGGGGATTATTCTACATCCCAGCTCCAGGCATGGGTCCTTTCACGCCCGGCGGTGCAAAGCTGCCCTCAATGCGGCGTTTCGCGTCCTGCTTCTCTTCATTGGTGGGGTTGTTCTTGCGCATGTCGGGAACATGAGCTGGTCTGTTGGGGCTATGGCCGATGGACATGCCGACGCGAATCTGCCGTAGTTAGTAAAGCGAATTCATCGCAAGAGGCGGCGACTTACAAGAGTCTCGAGAGCCGCGTTTGAATTGTCTACGAGGTCCTCGTCGTATCGCATTTGACCTGGCTCAAAGAGAAGCAGTAACGTGCTTCCACCGAATTTGAAGTACCCCAGCTCTTCGGCACGCTTCACGTGCTCACCCTTCTTGCGCGTAATGACGGTGCTACCTACCATCATAGCACCAATGCAGATGACCATGACACGCCCGTGGGCGACAGAGTCAATGGGTACTACAACGCGCACGTTCTCGCCATACACGTCCAGGGCTGAGCGGATAGCCATTGGGTTGACAGTGTAGTATTCTCCCTCAATCGTCTTCGGTTCATCCATGACACCGTCAACAGGAATGTGGAATCGATGGTAGTCTTGCGGCGCGAGTCGGAAGATACCAAGAGAACCGCCGTGGTAGCGCTTTGCGTCCTCAGGGTATGCATCACCAAGCAGCCGCTCGACAGTGAAGTCGCGACCCTTGACCCAGATAGCCTGTGCTGAGTCGATCGTGTTGAAGACCACAGTTCGGCAGTCGGAGGGGGAGACGATGACCCTGGGATCATCTGGCGCAGAGCACGGACGCGCACCAGGCTTCAATGCTCTGTAGAAGAACTCGTTAAAGTTCTTGAATTGGTCTGTTGGCAACAACACCTCAGACATGTCAAGCTGATGGAAGTTGATGAATGGCAAGATTTCCGAGGCTGAAGCAGGATCGTCGTACTTCCTTCCCTGTTTGAAACTGAGAGACTTGAGTAATTTGCGAACTGCGACGAATTAGTATTTTACGTTTAATTAACGAAAGCTGAGTGACTTACTTCGCTTCTTTTCCATGCTGTTCGACTTGAGGCCCTTGTACAGCAATCGAATACCCAAACGGACGTATACGCTCATACGCTCTTCGTTGATCTGCCCTGTAAGGCGATCTTGGACAAGGATGTTGGCCGAATTTGCGCCTAGCTTGTATCCGCCGTATGAGATCTTGGTAATAACCTTGGAGTACCACTTGCGCTGGGCCTGACTCGAAGTGACAAATCCAGCCATGACAATGTTGTTAACTTGTCTCCAATCTTGACTCGCGCATGTAGCAATGTGTGTAATGATATTAGCATCGGACCTCTTGTTCAACTTTGGTTGATGGCAGATGGGACATTCACGGATCTCGATGACATGTTCTTCTCCCTTTTCGTCTGCGAGATCATCAATCTGGATGTTGTCGCCTTCCTCGCCCTCCTTTCCTAGAGTGTTTGTTTCAAGTACTGGAATTGACGTTGTCGAGCTGTCCTGGTTGATGGGTGTGAGCATTCCGGATGCCAACGAGGGAGTCTGCGTGCCTGATGCGAGACCGTTCTTTCGGGAGTCTCTGGCCTCCGTGGCCTGGAGCTGGTCTTCGAGGCAGATGACAGCTTCATCGAACGTAAGCAGAAGGTCTCCATTGTGAGCATCCGCGAACCGCTCGAAAAAGCTGTCGATGGTCGACTCATGCAGAGTGGAGCCAAGTGTGTCGAGCATGGTAGTCAATTCCACTTTGTCCAGCAGGCCACTCTCATCGGCATCGTACTGCTTGAGCATAGCTCTCCAGAATTGCTGTCGAAGGGCCTTGTATGGGAGATACTTTGCGCGAATATAGAGGGTAGAGTTGTGCTTGTTGCCCCAGCGCTCTTTGTCCTTCAGCTCCAATGGGAGAGTATACATCTTCAGATCCTCATCATCTACAGAGGACGGGTTGATGTTGACATCGCCAGCGACAGCAAGATTGCCGTTGGAGTCGGCTGCAGCGTTTGGCGGAGCACCCAGAGATGCGGTGGATTCCTGCGCAGTTAATGAACCTGTCGAGGTTTCCTTCTTCAGAGACGGGCGGCCTAGACGAGATAGACTGTTTGTTGAAGCAGAACGAGAGATGGGAAGGCGGAAGCGGGATTTCTTAGAACTGCCCGAATCCGAAGGGGAGATACCAGGAGAGTCTGATGGCTCCGGTAGCCTATAGAGTCCCGTCTCTGGGTCTTCCTGTGGAGCTGTGGAGACGGCCTTTTCGATTGGGAAATTGACGGTACCAACATAGTCGTTGCCCGAGAACTTGTCCTTGTCGATGACAGTGAAGTTGACAGAATAGTTGGTCTCATGGCGTAAGACTTGGAAGATGAGTTTCTCGTCGAAGACGGGGTTGAGGTTGTGGCTGATGGTCTTGGTACGGTACGTCTTCTTTCCGAGGGAGGTTACGACGAAGGGGTCCATGTCGAAGGTGGTTCTGGTCACTATTCATGTGTAAGTTCAGGCAGTAGCGCGCTGTTGGGGAGACTTACCATTGCGTTGTGGTGGCAGATCGGTGCACTTCTGGATCTCCAGGAAGAGCACACCAGCTATGTCTCCCGTACTGGAGTATTCGTAGGCCTTCTTACCCTTGACCTTCCTCCTAAGCCTGGCCAGCTTGAGCTTCTTCCGCCGCTTCTCCCGCTTCTCGGCCTTCTTGGATTCGTCCTGGGCCTCGTCTGAGCTCGATTCGTCGTCTTCGGCATCGGTGAGGTTGCTATCGCCGCGCTCTAGGAGGTCTTCGTCGTCTTCGTCGGGGCTCGGTGTTTGTCCAGCGATGGCGTAGAACTTCTGGAGGATCTGCTCGGGCGTGGCGGCGAGGTTGAGGGGGTCGATGAGGGAGAACTGGATCTGGATCTCGCCGGAGACGACAGACTTCTTCTTGCCGGAGCGGCGCGACTGCAGCGGGAACCATTGCGGCTCCTGCTTGGTGAGGCCGTTCTGGAACTGCTCCTCGAGTATGACGTCAAACTCGCCCATGTAGTCCTTCCCAAAGCGGTCCTTGTCCCAGCAGACGACCTCGAGCAGGAGGCTCTGCTCGCCGACGATGGGCAGTTCGAGCGTCTCGTTCCATTCCGGGTTCAGCTGCTTGTTTATCGTGGGCGTGGTGAATTTCTCGTCGCCGAGGGAGAGGACTAGGTACTGCGGCCATGCACGTCAGCGGGAGTTTGGTAGCAGTTCAGACGGGGCACGACTCACGGGGTCCGAAGTGCCGCTGCGGTCCTTTGCAGCGAGGTCTCTGCCCTGCGTCGCTGTTAGCTGGGGCTCCTCCGCGGGGAAGCATGGGCGGGCGCACTTTGATGACATTGGCCCTCAGGACCAGGCCGGGCGTGGGCTGCTCGTTCATGGCGCGCAGTTTGGGGCTGCCGTTGCGGCTGGCAGGGACTGAGGTTGGGGTGGAATTGGCGCCGTTGGTGTAGCTCGACTGCTGCTTGAGGCGGTGGGGAAGGGAGAGTTTGCTGGTAAAGGCTGGTCGCGGCATGGTGGGCTACGGCCGGCGTGGCTACGCGTTCAATCGGAACGTGCTGGCCGGACCGCGGTAGCCAAGTGCCTAGGGAGTGCTTGACGTCGCGCCGGCGGTTGGCAGAACGTGGCTCTGAGCATGCAATATCACGAGGTAGAAGAAACAGCAGGAAGGACGCGGTGCGAGTGCTGACAGCGGCCAGGTCAAGAGTGAATTGAATTAAGCTTGGGGGCCGCCGCATACCTTAGTGTCGGTACATGTGCACGCGCAGCCAGCTGAAGGAGGGCAGGCCCGCAATGTGTCTCTTGCGGCGTCGATAGGAGCAGCGCCTGCCGGAACTTGCGGCTGGGCCCTCTGGATGTGCCTGTCCCATGTGTGATCGACGACTATGCTGAACTTCTATGCATGGCCCAAGACAAGACGGCCAAAAGCAAATACCGCCCGCTGCCAGTTGCTGCATCTACGCGCGACTCAGCCGCCAATAGTCAGAGCCGAGAACTGTCTTCCATCTCCACTCGAAACCCACCGCAAGGCATCAGGGCAGCCGCAACCAACAAGACTCAGTGGAAGCAGCCCTAATCAGCCCTGCGCGTATTATCTCGATAGGAACCCCTCATTCCTCGCCTGCTAGCCATCCGAGCAACCGGCCGCAGTATATATAGCTATGCGCGCAAGCCTGTCACAAATGCCGCATATCCCATGCCGTCTCCTCTGTCTCACTAACGCGTCGCGCTGACGGCTTCCGGGCCAACAACACATCGTATACATCGCGGATACCTATCTCGATTGAGATGCTCCGGGACTATGGTGGACTATTACACTGGGGCTAAATGGGGCTACCTG